AATCACCACTAAAATTCTGTTCCCCGACCGTTGTTGCTACCTTGACGTGGTGGTCGGGCTTGCCTATCGTGATGAAGCAACCGAGCTATACTGACTAGAACAATCGTTCCTCAAGGTCCTACCATGTCAGACGAGTCGGTTGAAGAGTGGTAAGACTAAAAGCAACAAACCTAAGGTCTGAAGGCGAAGTCCTACTGTTGACTGTACAGAGGTGTGACAGCAGTAAGGTGTTTCTTTCAGAAAACCAGCATGAAATCGATGCTGCCTTCCCACAAGAAGGGGTGGGGTTAGAAAAGGTCGACCCCAAAAATGCATACCTCGCCCTATCCCACGGATATCCGTCTCCGGCGGTAAGGTCTCAACAAGTACAGAGCTAACACAAAAATTACCCATAAAAAGGTTGTGTGAGACCGACCTCAAGCAGTTGTCCCATGGGCACTGCGGTCACGCTCTCAGGTCGCTAAGACCACCTCTAATCCAATTTCCTTTTCAGGCACCTCCAGAAGAACCCTTCCACGGTGTGGGCAACCGGGAAGTGATAACCGCCCTCATACCTCTAACAGCACTCAAGACCACTGACTGACTCACTGAAAATTCTGTTCACAACTATACATCTGTGCTACATTGGAAATCCTAGATTATGATCTTCAACACATAAAATAGACCTGTATAATCAACAGAAAGACTTCAAACTTCATAACAGGATTCAGAGAAGACTAGAGATTATAAATATTCGAAATAATACTCTCTAGTAGTATTGTGATCCTACTAAAATAAAATTGCATTTAAATTTTCCGTTCCATTTCAAATTATTTTGAGTTTCATAAAACATACTGAAGGCTGGATGGCTATAACCTCCAACTTTCAAAGAGTAGGTCTACGATTCGAACCCCACTTCACCTATTTCTGTTTAAGTTACAATTGTCACAATTGAGATGGTTTTCAAATTTATCCACTATGGCGTTCAGGTAGATATATATCCCCACTAGTAGTTATGATTGTTTGAATCTTCCCACTAAAATTTTAGACCACAATCGATAAATATTTTTCGACTTATGTGGATCTAATACGGGCTGTCTCGAAGCTTTCACTAACCAAAGTTGGATGGTGGCCAGTAGTGTTACCCAGAAAGTATGTTTCATCATGTTTGGGGTTTGTCGGTTGGGTATGCCTGCATCTGAGAGTTGATGTATATCCAGCTGACAAGTCTCAAATAGAATGAAATACGCGTCCTGGACACTACACTAGTCACCACCCAACTCTGTTAAAAAAATCTATTTTATATATTTGGTTTTCATTACCATTGATACTAATTATTGTTTGAATTCTTGTGCTTTTAATTTTATTAATTTCATCTCTCTGTATAAATGTAAACTGAGTTGGTTATGTTTCTTATGACTTGCCTACTGATTGGTTTTTACAACAAGTTATTTGTTAAACACTTCTTTCCTTAGATTTCTGACAAAACATGAATTCAAAGACAATTTAAAAACTTCGCGAAATTGAAATAGATGTATTCATCCTAAAGAGATTGAGTTTTTTAAAAAGTCTGTTGACACGTGAACGAATAATATTGAAACACTTGACTGACTATGGAAATGATTAAATGATTTTACACAAGTTTCTTATTGAGACCTTAGGTCTAATTGAATTATAAAGCAATTAGTCCCTTTGATAAATTTCGATGTTAGGTTGCTAAATAAAACATTAATGGAAAGTGGGTATCCCCTTAAATTCATAAATAGATGGAAAGTTCATTGTACAGTGGGACCTACTATAGCTTTGGCGGAGAAAAAGCCTGTCTACATCACCCTACCCTTGAATCAGTCATTAACAAGGCATATTGTGCAGCGAAGGTCGTTATCAAAGAAACAACAAGGTTCATGCTTCATCGAAAACCTAAAAGACAAGAAAACGATTGCGTAACATCCTACTGTGTTTACCAATTTAAATGTGCATGTGGTCACACACATATTGGGAGGAGTAGTCGTGATCTCAAAATTACGGTATGTGAGCATCTACCTAAATGGTTGCAGAAACAAATAAAATCAAATGACCCAATAAGAGTAGAGGATAAACATCCATCATCCTCTATTGCTAAACATTTAATCGAAACAGGTCATAAGGTTGATCTTAACTCGCCTTTTGTGGTGTTGTACAAAGTGTAAAAAGGTGTATACTAAGGCTTAGTGAAGCCTTAGCCCTACGAAAAATTCAAACCCCACCAGTCCGAAAGGGTGTGTGTTCGAATCCCACCTCCATCACAACCCTTGTCCCACAATAGGACGAAACGACCGTCCAGTGCTTCCAGGTTTTCAATGGTGGTCTAACATCAATCGGTTCATGATCTCAAGCAAAACTTAACAATCTCCACAACCCCTATAATAATATTAAAAAAACTGTTTGTTCTCACCTTAAACCAACCCTGGTAATATTAACTTATTACCCAGAGGGATGGGGTTTCAAATTGTTTTCACATTATTTCTTCATTATCCTCGTCTTTTACCCCATTTCTAGTCTAGTTGACCTTTTATTTTAATGTACAAATGTTCTTAACAAGTGTATGTGCGATCAGATTGTTCGAAATGTTTTGCGCTAATATATCACATAGTTCTGATAATCTTCGTCTTCTAACTGAATTAGTTTCAGTTTCAAATTTATGTTTGGTTTTTATTTCGTAATTTTTAACTTGGGTTTAATATCATAGTCTAATTTATTTTTTATGTAGTAAATAATTTCTAAAAATGTTCATGATAACACTGAATATGTCCCATTAATGAAGTAATAACGAATGGTAATGTTACTCTGTTTGATAGTTAAATGAAACTGAACCACTTATGTATTCATATACATGTACATAGAAACAAAAAATATGTACATCTTATTAAAGCATATATAAACGAAAAATCTGAATAAATTCTCTTTGGGTTTAACAATTATTTATCCAAATTAATAATCTTAAAGGTGGTCGGGTTAATGGCAAAGTACACCGTTTAAAATTATAACGTATGAACTTATGATTATTTCTAATATAAAATAAAATACAGGTGAATTACAATTAATGTTTTCGACACGTTCGATGGCAACTCCGAGATTGAGTGATAAATTACCTAGACTAGACATCTCTTTCTGTATCTATCAACTCAACTGCTCTTGCGGAGCAATTTATATTGACAGGTGTTTTAGGAATTCGTACATTCGTGCTCGCGAGCACCTCCCAGTATTGTTAAGCGAAGGTACAATTAAAACTGTTAACAGCTCGATTTTAGTTCATTTAGTACAAACCAACATAGTGCAATCATTTACAGTAATATGTCGTATCAACAACTATATGCCGAAATCCGTCAGACAACAATCCATCAGATGGCTGAAGCAATAGCTTTGCGTCTGGGAAAAATATGTTTAACCGCTCCTTTACTTTGATCAACTTCTGACCTAATTAGTTAGTGATCATGTGGTGATATAGCGACGTAATCCGATTAATGTTCATACAACCATCAGTGCATTTTTGCAGCTTGAACTTATCTTAGTCACATAGGATTATTATTATTATTATTATTACAACACTAGCAAGAGCATTGAGAAATTTGTTCAGCATCCATCCCTATTTACTAATTCGTACCTAATTCACATTACGTGATTTCCAGTTCGTAATTACACTATTATTTCTCTCACGATTTTAACCATATTTATTTTAGTCGTTTATATCACAATTTCATTTAACGTATAAACTTATTGAAGTCATCCCAACATTAACGATTTTACTAAAGTATTAGTACCTTAGGGACATGTGAACGAAAAATAGACATGATGTAGCAGAAGGATTATACTGAACTGCGTAATTTTTCTGATATCACCTTATTTCATTTTACCCCTCTACTACTTTTGATTATTGTGACAAAAATATTTTAACCCGATTGCAGAATGATGGATAAGAACTTTCGTCTAAATCTGATCGAATAGTTTCACAATATTTTAATATAGTGAAAATTCTCATCTTGACTTTCGGTCCAAAAACGTTTTAATCATTTCACTTCAGCCGCATTATAATCCGTCAGTAACTTAATAATTTTACAAGGCAACTTGCAACTATAAGTAGTTTATGTTTAAAAGCTGTCTTTAGCATTTCTCCATCTATTATTGTTTTCGTATAATGGACATTGGTGATTCATGTATTTGTAACTCATCTACTAGATACAGGTATTCCTACTTGCTTTTTAGTTACACTGTAGGTGAATGTCAGAGACACTCCAGATTACAAATATCAAAGTAGGTGGGGTAGGGTTTGAACCTAAAAACCATTATTGTAAGCAAACAAGAATGGTGGCTAGCAGTGAAATCCAGGACGCACGATTTGTCCTATTTGGGACTCGTCAGCCCGATGCACCTGCATCCTAGAGTTGATCAGTCCGGGACTCGAACCATTCCATATTTGCCTATAATGCTTGTGACTGAAGGCAATACCGAGGCAATCTGCACAAGATGCACATATACCAATAAAAGACTGATCAATTGCAGTCCTAAACATCAATGGGCACATCCCAACAAACCATACAGAAATGAATAAGAACTTCACCCGATTGCACAGATTAGTGATTGTCTGAAATCCGTAGCGAAGTAGATAACGTGATGGCGTTTGAAGCGAACGGTACTGAGTTAGAGTCTTGTAATGAACATCAACTGTGGGATGCAGTTACATCCAACTGACGAGTTCCAAATAGGACAAAACGCGCGTCCTTGATTGTACTGCTAGTCACTATCCATCTTTAATTTTACTTTATATTACAACCAGTCGTAAATTCACATGTACGTTTCTACCTATTGGATTATTAATTCAAATAAATAATTGTAGAACCGAAAGAGCATTTATTGAAAATAGTATTTTTCGTACATATATCTGTGTTTTAATATGATAGAAATTTTTCAGCGATATATCTTATTTTCAAGAAATAACCAGTCATTTTATATTTACTTTTTTTTATCATTTTATATTATAAAAGTCAACATAATGGATTTATGGCGCGTGGTAGAGACATTCAGAGAATTCGGTTTACACCAACTGAATGATCCACAAGCAAGTTTAGATTATGGTAGTACATTCCGTTTACTATCACGTATTTATTCACATATACCTACCACAAATATGAATATGAATACCACAACTGATGAAACTACACCAAGTAACGCAATCAATCGACCTGCAATAACTATTGCAGCAGAAATCCTACTTGGTTGGCTTGGATATGCTTTGGACTTATGTGCAACTGGCCGACTTAGCGTAACTGGACTAAAAATAACCTTATCAACATTAACTAATGCGAGGCCAGCTGATAAATTTCGATGTGAGTACTTTTGAATGCCATTTTGAAAATATTTTAATAATATTTCACGGTAAATTTTGTTCACTGAATAATTATTCAAAACACTCAGACCGTTTCAGAAATTTCGACAGTATTGAGAAGACGAGCGTAATCTGAAAAATAAGCTTTTATATTATATATTTCTAACATTCTCGTCACACATACTTATCAAGGCATATATATCAAAACCAGTAAAGGACAACTAAGTAAAAGTTCAATAGATATAAAGTGACAATTTGAAATCATGTTTGGAAAATAATAAGTAGTAGCGTTTAGCAGTATACGGAAAACTTCAGCTACTCAATTTTCTTTGTAGTTTGGAAAACATGTTCGTATTACATTGATATTTTTGGCACCAACTTGTGTTGGGGATGCTAGATCCCCAGAACTCACTTGATAACCGACTTATTTTTGAGATTTGAGTTTCTCGTTTTCGCACCAAAGGCGCCTACTCTTACCTTCGGACTGTATTTCCCATTTGGAAGGTCATTGGTTGGTTGCCTCTTTTACTATTCTATTCATTATCCATATATGTTAGAGCAACGAAAGTTATATGTAAGAATCCACTTGTCTTTTTAAGCACTTATGCCTGTCAACCATCATGAGGCATAGGGTGACGTCCAGGATTCTCCAACAAAATTTCTCTTGGACCCTCCTTCCCAGGTGTTGTCGAGTGCTGTTAATTCTTTTGATTTCTGTCTCCGATTCCCGGCGCACTATGTACTTTGGTCTACCTCTTTTCCTTTTGCATTGAGAATCCCATGATAGAGCTTTGTGAGTTAGTTTGATTATTTCTACCTGCAGCTTTTTTTCTTTATTTCTTGTTCAGATGGAAGCTGGTTTTTTCGCTGACACAGTAGACTGTTGTTGACGGTTCCTAATTAACGGATATGAAGTATCTTGCATATTTAGCTGTTCATAAATACCTGAACTTTTTTTAATGATCGTTGTAGTAGTTCTCAAAGTTTCAGCTCTGTACAACAGAACTGTTCTGACGCTTATATTGAACATTCTGACTTTGGTGCTGGCTAACAAATGGTTTGTACTGTATGTGTTTGTCAGTTATATGAATACTGTCCTTGCTTTACCGATCCGTGCCTCCTCATCTGCATCAGATCCTCCTTGTTCTTAAATGATTATGCCCAGGTATGTAAAACCTTCCACCTCTTCCAGAGCAACTCCGCCAAGTGTGATTCCGTTGGTCCTCTCTGTATTGCCATTGTGTTTATACAGGCCTATTGTTGCAGAGGCTTCTGCCAAACTGGCTGTCTTCACCTACACTTGTTATTGTATATAGAAAAGAAGGACCGGGTCATCTGCGAAGTCCAGAGCGTGTATTTGCATGCAGGCTGTCGATTGTATTCTGTGCTTCCTCTAAGATATGAAGGTCTTCATAATCCAGTCAACCACCACAATGAAGCAAAAGGGCAAGAGTAAGCAGCCTTGTGTGACACCGATCTTCACTTGAAATGCATCTGTGAGCTGTCCTTCATGGACGGCTTTACAGTGTAATCCGTCTTATGAATTCCGTTTGATGTTAACGATGTTCTCATGTACATCCTAGTGTCGAGGAAGATTCCATGAGGTCCACCTATCCACATTGTCAAATGATTTCTCATAGTCAAGGAAGTTGATGTTTAGTGACAAACTATATTTCCCTACTAGTTTCTTCGTTGTATCTCACAGTTGTCTCGTACATCTTTCCCGTGCAGCTTTTTTTGCTGTTATTGCTAGATCTTCCACGTATTTTCGCTTGTCTTTTGTGAACCTGCTTCTACGTATTGTGGTCCGGTGAGACTCATCTAACTTGTATATGTGTCATTTAGTTGAAATAGTGCCACTTACAACAATGTCGTTGATAGCACATAGCTTTGCCAGTCTCTCACCATTCTCCTCCTCTTTCTCCCAGTTCATGTCGCTCCATGATGTCTTCAGACACAGTGTTATCCATACCGACATTGATGTTCAGGTTCACCATCATCAGAATTGCCAGGTCTTTGCATTGTCAGTTCTCTACGATTGACAGCAGCCTCTCATAAAACTGATCTTTATCATCCTCACTGCTCTCATTGGTGGGAGAGTAGCGTCCGCCGACATTTATTGTAATCCCCTCCTCCTTTGTTTTGAAGAATGCTTTGATGATTCTGGATCCATGAGATTCTCATCTTATATATGCTTTTCATGCTTGTTTGAAAAAATCAACCCAACTCCCTTTGTGTGCAAGGCGTTTTGTTCTTCATGGTCAGAGTACAACAGTATATTTTCTATCGAGACTGGATGGAATGCGTTTTGCTTAATCTGATGGTAGTCAAATTGTATCTCTTCATTTCCGTAACTGTTTGAATGATCCATCCGGTTTCTGCACTGTGCAGATATATATATATATATTGTCAAAGTTGTGAAAGTTGGACTAATTTGTGACTCCATAAAATTTTGAACATAAAACCAATTGAATTTACGTGGTGGTCGTATCTGCTATTCGACATATTGTTTGTTATTATCAATACAGTCATCGCCACCCTTTAAATTTTTAAGCCTTTAGAGCTGTGTTTCATTGCCATTTATCAGATGATTAAAAATATCAGGATAGATTATCGCCATATTATGTTGTAATTTCATATGAATAGTATGGTGATAAAACAGTAAATGCCAGACGATATTCAATTATTAGAGACGTGTTGTTATAATCTTTTTGCGCATATTTCTTCCATAAAACCTACAACTTCTACAATTATTAATCGTTACGTCAAAAGTTTTGACCGATTACTATAAATGTTACTGTTTAAAATGAAATTTTAAGTTATCCACTTTCTTTTTCAGATCACTTTACTCTTTTGTCCGATCCCTCTGGTGCATTAATTTTCTCGAAATTCGAGGCTTATCTTCAAGATTTACTCAAATTACCTATAAGTGTTTTCGAAGGCACAAATTTCTACTACACGCCACAAGCTTCACAAACAATGTTTACTGGGGTATGTTTCAGTCGAATTTGTAGTAACGTTCTTGGATAGTCAAATATGAAGTGATTCATTGTTCTTTATGATATTTGAATATCTGTAGGAGTAGCTTTTGAATTTATATTTATCTTAGTGCTTAATGTCATTCAAAGATATTTCATCATATATATGACAGCAAAATCTAGTTCAATCTAATCGTTAAAATGATAATGCTTAAGGAAAATTCTCATCGTGAATGGATGAACAATTAGCATCGTCAAATTCTTAACAAGCTGGTGTAGCTTGAGTAAATAAACTGTGATTGTTGGAAAAAATATCTAGACATTTTAGTGTAGAAGAATGAAAACTTTTCACTACACTTGCATTGGAATAAATCTGAATAAATGAGCAACCAGAAACTTTTCAAATGATTAAGGCTTCGATATATCTTGAATTGTTCCTTGACAGTTTCTGTGTCAATATTCTAGAGCCGTTTCGAAGTTTCTACTACCACCTGTATTGAATTTGTGTTTGGTAATACAATCACCGGCTTTTATCCACCGAAGTTATCTGATGTAGTGATTTTAACTTGGTTGAAGGCATTTCTGCTATATATTTCAATTACTCCTTTGTATATTTGTTCTAACAAGTTAATTAATAGATGCATTACAACATTTTTGAAAAGTCTACATAAAATTATGTATTCGTCCTTGCAATGGCAATGCATTCGGTCGTGTATTTGTGTTTTGTCTCCATTTAGGAATAAAACATCTTTTTTTCTCTGTATGTTGTCGGGATTTAGTCACTTTTTCTCTGAACGCTAAAAGTTAAAGAGTATGTATGTCACATGAGTTCTACTTTGAGAAACTTCAGTAGGTTTTTGTATAGTAATTACTTGTCAGTCATGAGTTTGATAAATATTCCATATAGAGTCCAAATACGCTTAAATGTATTGAATAGATACTTTAGTAAGCCAAGTTTTACTTCATGGAATAACGGGTATGAAAGTTCAAGATTAATAAACATTCTATTTACACCAAGTGATTTATGGATGACTATTTTTTTAGATTTTGACTGTCATTTATCTCATTCTGAATTTTCAAACTTCAGATTGGTCATTGATATATATATGGTAGTTGCAGCAACAAGAATTACTCTCGGCTTACCTGAGAGAGTAATTCATTTTTTCTTCACAGTGCGTTTTCTCGAGAAATCGAAGATTGGCTCCTCAATCCTTTCCTCTTTAAGATCACTTTTAAAAGCTTCTCATATTAAAAGCCTTTACTAAGGTAGATTATTTTTAAAACACTATGCTACACATCATGATAATAAGTTTATTCCCAACAGAGCCGGTCGAAAGTGCTTTCAAAAAGACATCTATATAACTTCTGAAAGTGTTTTTAATTTTTGTGAGAATGTACTGTTGAGCAAAGTAATCAAATACATTTCAACATACAAGCAATCGTCTTATCACATTTTCGTTTATTTTATACAACATAAATTACTTTTCTGAATACATCATAAATAACCTTCCATTAAGTTACTAAAAAATAAGAAGTGGTAGTTTCTTTACGAAATCATTGAAATAATCTAGTGTTTAAGTTAACAATGTTTTAGACTGAGTGTAAATTGTATCGATGTCATTTACATGACAAAATAAATGGTATGATGTAGATCAGAATTAATAATAACACCCACAAACAACATCCCTAAATGAAACACTGTTAGTGGTTTAGAGGTTAAGCGTTCGCGCGAGACCGATGATTCTGTGTTCGAATCTCGCGTGTCGGATTGTGGATGAAAACTGCTGAGGAGTCAAATACAGGATGAAATAGCTGTTCAGTGCTTCCAGGTCTTCGATGGTGGTCTAACAATGATCGGTTCAGGATTTCAGTGAAATTCAGCATTCCCCACAATCCCATACTGATAATAAATAATGTTCAGCTACGCACGTTCTTTAGAAAAAAGAAAACAAAGAAATATTATGTACGTTATCCTGCAAGTCAGCTAGTTGATAAGCGATGCGTTCGCTGATCACGCTTATTTCAGAGTTATTTATGAAAACTGAAGGGGACATTTATCATGTATTATTTAAATAGATTAACAGTAATGATAATGACTAAAGTTGTGTGAAACAAAAGCCAATTAGAGAAGTAGACAGTTGAGGTAAAGAGAGTTTAGTAAATATTTCTTATATACAACACAAAGCTTTAAAAATTGTATTTTTCCTATTATTTTTTACTTGTAGACACATTACATGCCTAGAAAAGGTGGAAAACAATATATTTTCCCTTTAAATCATGTCAGAAGATTTCGTGGTCAAATATTCATTTTTATTGCTGAATCTTAATAGTAATCATTCAAAAAATCTCACGACTGAAATGAAACAACCAACTAGAATGTCCAAACTTTCAGTTTTATCACAAGCAGTTAGTTATTAGGCGTAATTATGTGTATTTCTTTAAATGCATCAGAAGTGACCTGCCAATAACGTGATTAGATGTCTTAAATATTGATTTGCTGGGAAAAGTGTGGTCTTTAATGACCCGGGATCTGACTCCAGTGAGATTGTTTCTGATTGCTATTGAGATATACATATCGTCAATCCTCCTGTATGATTATCGACTTAGATCGCGTTAGTGAATAACGAAATTAAATAAGTCAAATACGAGAATGGATTTTCCAATAAATATATTTTGTATAATCATTGATCGGAACAGATAGAGACGTAACTAAGGAAGCGAAGAGGAGAGAGCGAAACAACGTGCGGTGGAGGAGGCTCGTAAGCCAATTTAATCACCCGACAATCAATATTTATAGTCACACAAGAACAATCTACAGACATGTGGTGAGTAGGATAAGAAGTGTACAAACACACGCTTACATATAAACAGTCAAGGTTGATAAGTGAATAATTAAAAAAGTCAAAATGTGACTCAAGTAGAATGAATAGATTGGCCTGTCCGAAAGCTAGGATAAGGTAGGCATAATGGCCAACACTACAGGTCGCTTCTTCCCGAAATCTTTAAAGTTTCTTTGCTTCCTAAAATATTTTTTATTATACCGACTCAGTTCGTTATATATTTTAGATTCAGTAAAATGTTTCTCTCGTTAAGGATCACACAAAAATGAATTTTAAGTGTTTTTGTCCTGTTGATTCGATTGTGTACTGTTTGATTTTTATTTTAAAAGCGTTCTAAAAACGTAGTACTTGAAGAATTTCTGGATCGTATGCTATCGGATCAAGGACCACAAATATTAGTATGGCTTACGATTTTTCACCGGTTAATCAGTGTGGCGAGTGGTAAGTGGTGTATTGAATATTTTCCGGAAAATTAACGAAATAAAACCTGTTGTGTCATTCGAAAAAATTAGGATAAATCAATGAACACAAGGTTCTTGTTGGCAATATCATTTTTTAAAGTTGTACAATCGTATTTAGAGTAATTTAACATATATATATAATAAACCATCGAAACAGAAAAATGATTACATAACTGTCTGTCTAGGAATTGATATCATACCGATTAAAAATAATTTGGTTTTTCTCATGAACCGTATAGTAGGTACAATACAAAGTGTGCCATATGACTAGTGGTGATAAACCAAGGTATACCAGAAATGAGCTGTTAGTTACTAATTAACTTAATGTTTGCTGAGATCTACTTTATTCACAGGTGTCATTTAATACAAACTTTCGCTAAATAAAGAGAAACATCTATCCAGTTTTTAGTGATTTACAATGTTTCAAATTTATTACGAAAATAGTATATAGCATATAGTATATCCATTCAAATGTACCAACCGTTATTCGATCAGAAGGTGAAAGTTATTTATCAATATCAAACATATTCAACGTTTGCTTTTAGTACATTTGATCAAATAAGTTATTTGATATCATGAAATACGTATTTATTGGTATATACATCTTTGTTTTCAACCTAATACTCCAATAAACTGTGATTTCAGTATTCTTTAAATGTGAGTGATATTTCACTGAATAAATTCAAACTTGAATCTCAGACAATTAAAAACATATACATACCATAAAGCTATAGACACGAATGTACAGCTTAAGTAAATGTTTTCCTCGAAAAGGACAGTTTTCTCTGAATTCTCTTTATTTTTATTCAATGACACAATGACTTATTTTAGTTATAAAAACTTGACTAATTAGGAAATGCTAAAATTTATTTAACTAGCTTTTTTAATGCTATTTCTTTATAGTCCGACATAACGTACGATGTGAGGGTTGCAAACGTGAACCGATTTGCGGTCTACGCTACAAATGTACTCGATGTCCTCACTATAATTTGTGTCAAGATTGTTTTTGGATTGGCGTAACCACAGATCAGCATACAAATGCACATGATGTGAAAGAATATAGTGCTGCTTCAGTAAGCTATTTCCAATATATATAGTTCATTACAGATCATTATTGTATGCAACACTTTACTCTCATGCTTACTGGAAAGATATTGTTCTGAATGAATAGAAATAAAAAACAAACTTAAAATATTCTTATACAGATCTTTATAAGGTAATTTAGGAAATTAGAACGTTTGTTGTATGTTATCGATATATTATGGATGCTAATATAGTAGAATATTCTGTTTTAAAACTACAACAATAAGTTATCTAAAAGAGGAATTTATACCCGGGTTTCCAATGTATGCAGAGTGAACTATATTTAATTGGTCAATCTAAAAATGAAAACCATGGTATACGAGATGTAATAACTTCTGAGTAAGAACTTTTAAATCGTGCAATACAAACAATAATCATGAATGTTTCTTGCAATCCACTCATCAATATAATGTTTGCTAATTAACAGCACCTTTTAACCTCAAATAATAAACATTGGTACTTATCGAGTTTGAACGAATCAACAGACAATTCAGATCGTTCTGGTTTATCATATTTGTGTACCTACAGATAAGGAACACGGATTTCATTAACAAGTGAAAATAACATAGTAGAACAATGACTGTTATTTTTTTCTTTGATTTACTGAAATGTGTATGGTAAGATACGTATAACCACAAGCATATCGTCAACTGATTGAAGTTAGACTTGCGCACCACTGAGTTTCGACTCACTGGTCTAGACTTGAAGCGCTGGCGCACGAAATGAAATGTTTGGGGTTCGATTCCTCGTTACAGGAACAAAACGGCTATCAAGTACTTCCGTTTTCAACGCCTTTCCAGCTTATATAGGGTCGTGATCTTTTTGTGACCGTATGTCTGACTCAAGTTAGATCGGACAAATGATCGTTATCGAATGATTGCTGACGAAATATACATCCTGGCTATTCTCGTATATAATCATCGACTTGAATCGCGTTGGTGAATAACGGAATTAAATAAGTCAAACGCGAGAATGAAGTTTTGAACTCGTATGTTTTGTACAATCGTTGCTCAGAAGAGACAACCAGAGAAACAGAGCGAACGGAGCGAAAAGAGAACGATGCAAAATGACGCGCAACGGAGAAAGCATATGAGCCAACTTCCTTTAATCAAGCACTAGTTAATGCTCCTCAATCAACCCCATCAATAGACAAAAATCATTTCAAGGTAGATAGATCTCCTGACGACTACGTCCACTTATTTTCCATACATGCAAGGATTGCTTAGCTTGTATTTTATTTATCGCTTGGGCTGGGGATAAACTCCATGTTTTCAAGTCATCTAAGGTATCGTAGTTAGTAATTATGGTTATGTTTTCGTTTACTCAGTCACTGAGCTGTACATATTATGGAATAACTTCTATTATAGAATTAATTCGAGGTATGACCGTTGCTAGGTTATAATTTTTCCCATCATGACTGACTTAACTACACTTAACATGCGGTATTTTCGTCGTAGGATACTTTACATTTCACACATAAGTCAGCAAAGATGACAGACAACAAAACATGCCCTCCATCATTCATTTAGATAGTGTAAATGAGAATTCCCGCTTCGTTTTAATCGCTTGTCAGGTCCAAGGTCAAAACTGCCAACAAGAGTAGAGTTCATCCTCACCCATCGCATGTACTAATCAAGTGGAATTTATGGAACACTGTAGTAGTTCATTGAAGTCTTAGCAACATTATTCTGTAACTTTCTTACTAATTCTATTTCAGAAATCTCATTCCCGTCAGTTTGGACATTCTTTGAGAAAATCGTTTCAATTTGGACGGGCCATTACTAACTCCACAACATCAAATGTTGTTACTACATCTTTCACAAGTAGCTTCAGTGAACGTCAAAAATTTTATGGCATGAATGTTGCTCGTCGTCCTCATGTAGGATCTATATTCGAATGGAATTCAGACCCTTCTGTACCAACCGGCATTATTTCTTGCGTAAACGGCATTGCGTCAGCTGTACAACCATCTTCTGTATCGAACGACATTGCAACGGGTATTTCTGCTGTATGTCATCCAAGCCAACCTGTTTCAAATCAGAGATTCATGGCACCAGTGAATACTATTTGTAGTCCATTGCCAAATCGGCGCTTGCAACAGCTCAATCCTTTATTTTTAGCAACTCGACCGAGTACTAACTTATCTAATCTCACATATGTACCTCCCCAACCTGTACAAGTTCAACCTTCCCCTAACAGTTTGAACGAATCGAATCAAGGATCGAGTGGTGTTGCACGAAATTTAGTGGCCGTTACCTGCTATACAAATGTAATGCAACAACAAGATATGATTACTGCAGACTATACAAGAGCCGGTAAGCTACACTTTTACTTAATTTACGCTCTGTAAAATTATTACTACTTGAGATGACAAGCCATATGTTAATCTTTATCTGTTTTCGAGTCTATTAATTGCAGAATAAATTATAAATTAACTAAAAATAACCAAAGGAGATATATGTGAAATGAAAATGTAATATTTTTTGCTATGACTTATGTACATATTACCACAGTTAGATGAAACTGATGAACACAATGGTATGTAAAATGTAATTGTACTTTCGTTTTCCTGACCAGAATTTCGCTCTATAGACTCTCATTAAAATAAATTATATGGATGTTATTTCAAGGATATTGGCTAAGATTATTTCCAGTCATGAATATTTTACTTATTAATTAAAATACTTGACGTTCATTCAGTGATTGTCAGGTTCGAAACACACTCCACCTACTTTGGTTTAGGCAGTGAAATTTCACAGACCTAACTACTTTCAAGTCAAATCACTCTTTTAGATAACATTTTCGGCTCATTTACAGCATAATGATTACTCAGTCTTACTGGAATTTCGATGACCAAAACGATAAAGTATAAAAATAAAGAATACTCACAATCAAACATTGTAAGTGCTAATATAATGTCTCAGTTTCCTTTAATTTATTTCAGGACACAATATTTTATATTCTGATGTACCTCCTGGTTCACACATGCCCAATCTGTCAGGAGCAAATCATCAACCATTACCTATGTAAGTACGAGATGTTACTATAATATTTTCTTTCACAGTTGTGACTCTATACTTTATTTTTACCCAGTTTCTACGAAAACACTATACATAAATTTGAACGGAATATGACAACTGAAACTATTATGTAAGCTATATTAGGGTCAGTTTAAAGGAACTATTTGACCCCAATATTGATGACATACTTGGAAACCTGGGTTGTCTGTTTTTCTAACCATTAGAATATTTCAATGAGATACCTATTTTTGTGTTCAATTTATCCAAGGAATTCTGTCAGATAATCGTGCTATCTATCCATGCATTTATACCAATAGATTAGAACCTATCGTTCTATAAAATGAAATTCAATTGGGAACATTCATAAAAACAATGACAGTTGGTCAGAAATCCATTCCTGAAGTACCTAGTTCTAGTCGCGCACGCATCATAAGTCAAATAAATTATTTCCCGACTTCTCTTACCCCCAAACTTGTATATTAGCTTTATTGTAATTGCAATTCTAGAATCCTTGTCAAATAATTTTACGATGATAATTTAGTATCACTACATATTTTTAAGTTATTATCGGATTCATTTCAATAACAGAAGTACGTGGAAATGCAGCTATGTTCACAAATATGTGCTAGTGTCAATTTAACTGCACATGCTTTTGGTTTTCAAAATACTTTGTACATCGTGTAACGTTAAGTGATATGCAAAACAAATGAATAAATACATTGATATCGCCAACATTTTTGTGATCTTGGGCTGCATTCCTTCTGTACTACCTGTTTTCGTTGATGGATTCATTGAATTTGCTGAGACTGTTATGAGGGGTTCTATTTTAGTTAGAAATGATTATTTCAACTTATGCTACTACACCTTTCTTTCATCTTTAGTTCACCAAAATCTAGTTAACTTCCTTACCCGTTTCGATACTCCTCTATATTTGGTTTCACTAAGTGAGTCAACTCGCTAACGGCCTTCTCTTCTAAGTTCTGATCATTTTATTCTCCGTAATTGTGTGAAGTAATTGCGATAGTTAGAATTTCAAGATTCCTCTTTAACTTCTCCTTTTCAAAGTCTTATATGAACTTGTTTTTTGCTTCTACCAAACTGCGATTAAACTATATTCAAACAGTATAAATTTCTTTAAAGCTAACTATATTAGTTAACCTAAGACACCGAATCCCCTATGAACAATAATCTATGTTCAATTGTAATGCTGAAAATAAACTTTATGTAGTTATATTTTCATCAAGACTAGTTGGTGATCATTCTTTATATTAATGAAATAAATTCTTCTGCATAACTATCTTTTGTATAGATCATGTTATTCTCAACCTACCACAGACATTTATTCAATTGGTAGTAATCAAAAATATCAATTAGCTACTACAACAACTGGACAGCCAGCTATACAATCTACTCCCATAGTATCTGTGATTAATAGCGATAATTTGAATAACTCAAGCATGGGAGCTAGTTTCTCGTTGAAAACGCACAATCTTGATCAAAAATCTAATGAAGAACATAATTTAATTGCTAGATATGCTGCCCAGTTAGCTGCTGCTTCAGCGTTAAACCAAGAATTCGATGTAAGCAAACACTTTAAAGAAATAAAATTAAATCCCTGTTTATATTTGTAAGCTTTTAAAAATGGGGCATAAAAATAACCTTCTTTGAATTTTTAATTAAGACCAAGTCGTGATTTTATGTGTAAAAATGATTGGTTGTCGTTGTTATGGAAGTCAGTTTTAAGGTTTCATTATGATGAGTACTTTTACGGGTGGATTAAATGATGGACAGAGAGTCGATAGACATATGATTCTTCGTGACTGACCAAAAGCTATTCACGTAACTGAATTCTTGACATAAGACTGTGAGTGAGCTGTTACTAAATGGAAATACAGTTGGGAACAAATTAGCACAATGACATGCAGATAAATGAAAAATATAGCACAAAAATAATTATGATTAAAAGTCTATTCATAAAAGTTTGTAATAACCCGTTAACAATATTCAGGACCCGATTTTGGTGGATCTCCTTTGTCATATATGCGTCCAGAGTACATCCCCAAACATGATATGTTTGCTACAAGTGTATTTGTATTTTGGGAGGCAAATGTAGGTTGTATTGAGACATCCACTTACGACTAACATACCTACACAAACTGATCATAATTCAATTCTGAGTGTTCATAAATAGGATTATAAAAACCCTTACAAACACTTTCAAGTATTTTAAATAGATTAGTGACTATTTCGGCTAAGTAGTTGAATGCATAAGGAGTCGACATTAGAAAAAGTAGATACTAAGTTCGAGTCTCCATTTATGCAGAAACATTGGGATGCCTTTAAGTTGATGATCAGTTTGAATTAACAGATCAAGACTATTAATACGAAATTGGAATTATTGTGGCGTAGTTGTTGTGGTAATAATGATAACGACAATAACAAAAATTATTAATAAGTACATCGTATAAAATAAGAATAAAGCATGTATAATTATAAATAAAAGGAATTGTCACGTGGGGAAGTATAAAACTCTTCATAGTCAATCGGATGGGGAACTATTGTATTTTCAAAATATTTCATGACTTCTTTCCCTAACCATCTTAGTATATGTTCACGAGAGCTCAAGGATGAGGACTTATGAGTACGGTCAATATCCCCCCAAAGGAGTATTTAATTTTCTAAATGCACATAGACTAGCTCATCACTAACTGCGTCAGTATTTGTTTTGCCTATATGCATACTCCAATGTTTCGTTTAATGTAATTTAATAATTATGGAATTATAACTGTAGATCCTGAGAATAAAAGATTATTCTAATTGAAAGGTGTGTTCGAAAAACCACTCATGTATTTTTTAATAGATAAAAAATACGGATAATCTCCTTCAATCGAACACTGAGAATACGAAGACATTAACTTTAGGGAACTAACATGAATATTTTGATATTTTGTTGAGGATTAAATTTAGATAAAAGGTTCATAGGTTAAAATCAATAGAAATTTTTCTAACCATGAACTTTGGATACTTTGAAATGAACTACTTAAATTATCAGTAATCATAACTGCCCATCTACCGTTAAGCTTATCTAGTTTTGAGATTGTATTTTCAATAAATATGTTTATAAAGATGACAAGGATGGGTTTGTTCAACGTGACAATAAGAAATTTTCCATTAACTGAATTGTGCTTAGGAAAATTAAGTGATCAAATAAAGTGTAATCGATATCAAATATTTCTATTGGATATTTTAATACAGGAACTTATCTCAGTGATAAATAAGATTCGTACAATAAAAATTATTTATTAGCTGGCTGTTTTTGTTTTCATTTTGTTCTAGAAATTCGGTGATTTTGTTGAGTCAACACAAACTCAAAAACAACTAATCGCTCAACTACAAGAAAAAAACAGGTGAGCTATAGAGTGAATAACGATACAAGACGTGTCTACGTATAAAACTAATAACAATTATTATGCAATTAGCTCTAATATATAACGATATTTACTCATCCATTCATCCATTTGAATATAACTTTTACAAGGAAGGGAACTCAGCGACTCATTGATTTAAAATATGTTTATCGGCTCAACCCTAAACTACTACATTTGTTCATTTGTTCTTGAGGGGATAACAAACAAGAAATTTCGGATCAAGCACAAAAGGACTCATCGTTGACTATCCAGACACTTCAACTTGTAATTTCGTCAAAAAATGACTGAAGTGTTTAACACTATTCGCTTCAATGACGACTTTGGGTCCGTTACATACTTTCATCTATTTGATTTCCTATACATCAGATTGATTCCATCACTACTTTTATTTAGTACACTTCTCGATAATCTGTGGTTTAAAAGGTGCTAAATTTGGTTTTCACTTAACAAATTACCCAAGCATGACGACATTATGTTAAATTCTATCACTATAGTGATGTCTTATATTAAAAAGATATAGATAAACTTAGTATATGATATTTGATTTTAAAATGTATGGAATTCTTGTATGAATAACAGAACCTATTATATTATAAAGATTTCACATTACAACCACGGTTATTATTTCTTTTTAAATTCTATTTATTTGTTGAAAATCACCACGTGATTTAGGTTGAACTCCAGTTGGTGTTAATCAAATTGTAAAGAGACTGATAGATAAGAATTTTTGTACAGTTTTTGGAATAAGTAAGACGTTGTTCCTAGTTGCCTAAATCTTTACCAACAGAGCAGAAGCCAGTTGTTAAGTTTATGACCTGTCAGTCAAATAAACAATATATTTTTTGCAACGCAGAGAGACAAATGATATATATATATATATATATATATATATATATATATATATATATATATAACTTCAGTCCTTGACAATAATTTTTTTCGGGAAAATGTTTCATGGTGACATTTGTGTTTCCTTCCATTAAATTAGAAAAATACTAAAAGAGATTGAACGATTACGAGTTGAACAACAAAAACAAGCAGCATTTATTGCTGCTGCTGGTTCCCTCAAACATGATTCTTCTGAGTTACAAGATGTTTGTGACGAAGGTGCTGGTACACTTAGTCCGACAAATTTAAAACAGTACTTAAAAACAGATAATTTATTGGCCTCCGGAGTTGGCAATTCAGTGAATTCAGAAAATCCTCGTTTGGTTGCTGATCTACAGGCGCTTCGCCAAAGAAAAGATGAACTGGAGTCGAGAATGAGTAATCTGCAGGTAATTAATTTCTTCGGAGCTAAAGATTCGAAACTCACATTTAAAAAGTGCTTCTAAACAGAAATGCATAAGAATATTACGAATTTGTGGTCCGTTTTATATTATAGAAACTATTAAAATCATTTTAACTCATGAAAAATAAGTCCTGATACCATGAAGAATAAAATACCTAAATCCTTCCCCTGGTAGGATCATGGTTATTGGAAAACATCAAACCAGGACGAAATAGCCCACTAGTTCAGTGGTTGATAAAATTTACCTCTCTGAAACGCAAAAGTATATTTATAACTGATTTTCAATGAACTTTCACCAAAAATCTGAAAACAACAACAACATCCAAATGCTTAACTAGGATACCCATCAGTATACAATTCACCGATCATTATATGGCAACTTGTCTCATTGCCTTTACATGACAGCAAAAACATATCTGTTTAATATAATTCTATCGAAATTGTCCCACATATGTAAGTTGCGAGTGGGATTTTATCATATTGTGTGTAAGTTGTTAGTGTAAACCATTACAGTGAATCTGATAAATTGTATCATGCAAATGTTGTTCACTTTTAAAATTCTTCAAGTTTGTTTTGATGTATCCGTGAACACTAGTAGTGTTGTGCTCGAAAACTCAGGTGCTGTAAACTAAAACAGTGCCTAAGTAAACTATCAAAACCATACCCCAAATACAATATTTCCACATCTTCCTTCAGCTGTCCTTTACACTCTTTATGGTTCTTCCGATTCTGTTGTTACTACGCTTGCTCTCTGTTTCCCTTCCTGTTTTATTCAAATCAGTCTTATGCTGGTAGGTATTTCATTTCCGATTGCTGCTACATACTACTGATATCTGTTAGCCTAAATAGCATACACCACAGCAGATGTGAATAATAATTTTAAAAGTAAAGTTAACTTAGTTAATACAGAATAAATTTTTCTTCTCATTGTACATTTAGCGTAGTCGAACAGATTTGATGTTACAGTTAGAAGCATTAGTAAGACTTTTATCTGTCAGTACAGGAGCTACTAATGCACGTGACAATAATCCTTCAGCGTTACTTGATCTAAATGATATTCGCCGAACAGGCCACAATTCCCGACTAAATCAAAAAGTTCCAGATTATCCACCAAGACGAAGTACAAGTTTATGTGACCCATCAGTTGGAAGAAGTTATCAAGACAATTTCTCTGCAGTAAGTCGATATTTTCTATTGCTGTGTCCTAACTCCTTGGTCACATGTAATAATTGTTTAATGGAATTTACACTAAATTGAAGGGTTTTCAAACAACAGTTGTATTTTTTGGAAAATGATACCCATTTTTTATTAGTTTAATGTTTATTAATAATCAATACTAGAAAAAAACGTGTCTCTTGTAATTCCAAGACAAACCAGCCATTTTTAAAAAAAGTTCGTGTTAAACTTTGTTTCATGTATTGTAACAATGTATGAAAACTCTTATGAAGGTGGAAGTTTTTATCTCACATGAAAATGTTAAGATGCCAAAATTAATACTTTTGTTTGAAAGACAGCAGTAAGGTGTGTTGCCTACATAATATTTCCTCTTATTAGTAATTTTTCAGTACATTACCAAGGTTAGTTAATTTAAGCTCTAGGCCCGAAAGAGAAAAAGTGCATAGAAAATTTGAAATCACTAGTGAACTATTTTCTAAGGTATGTGGCACACTAATTTTCAGAAAGTCTAAAACTCAGTGTTACTGCCAGTCTTCGAAACACATTTGTAATCAGTAATCATAATACAAAATTCTAATCACCCAAGTTATTCCCATATTTATTATGTAGAAGTTCTACTTCTTAGTTCAAAAACTATTCTAACCCAAAGATGATATCATCAGCCTCGGTAAACGGTTTATTCTGAGTGATCAAAAGGCAATCTTCTGAAGTATAATTACACTTCTAACTAAACACCAATATTCTAAATAGGTATTTGATGTGCAATTATAGCCTCTAGTAATGTGTAAATCGCTTCAATTTAAATACAATCTGTTCACCGTATTCTGCAAATATTGTTGCTTTCGCTTTGTTCAGATCTGTAATGGAAGCTAACTGGATGAAATAAGATGTTTATTTCATTAGCGTACTTGAACTTGTTACTAATCATCAGATTACTTCATTGTACATGAAGACTACATTTACTTGTATACAAGAAATTTTTTCACTCACTTGTACCAACAAAAATTACTTTATCAACATGCACCAATATAAATTGGAAAAGTTAAGACCTATCCTCGTTGTTCAGTGGTCATTTAAATCATATATAAATGAATGTAAGCAGTCTGATATCACTCTGTTTATGCGAACTATTAAAAAATAATTTGTCATTTTCTCTAGATAAATATTACAAAATTTTTATTTCAGGAAAGTAGGCATGATAGAACGAATGGTGTTCATCCGAAACCCGGTTCCTCGGATAATATGAGTAAAATATTTTCCCCTTTAAAAACAATTACGATTGAAGAAAAAGGCGGACAATGGAATTTTAAATTTCCTGATGATAAAAAGCATGAATTACACTCACCTTCATCTATTCCGTACAGGTACTGAAAATGTTTTGATGTTTTTAGGTAGTAGGTGATTGTTTTACATCACACAACAATTCGTGATGAAATATCCCAAAAAAATTTATTTAAATATTTTTATCATTCTTTCACAATTGGTAATTAGACTTACATAAAAGGATCCAAAGTTACGAGGAAATTATGGTATGTATCGTGAAAGAAACTTGTTAATCTTATATCCTAAGTACTGTGCTGCAACCTTAATTTTTTCACCAAAATACTCTCATACACAATTTACTTCAGTCGACCTTACTCTTCTGACAGTGAATTTTAGATATCTTAGAATTTTATTTTGCATAATAACCTCTAACTGGCCTACCGTTAAGGACTGTAACCTGAGAAGTAGGATTTATATCATTCGGATTATTACATTTATAAGTAATCAACATTTGAAGTAACTACTCTTCAACAGTGTTTTCAGATTATTATTTTGAAGCACTTAATGAATGCATTGTTAAAACTGATTGGTTTGCTCTAATTTTCAGTAGCACAAACTGGGTGACCAGTTAGTGCTAGTTTCATTCCTACCACTCCTCGGAAGCGTATATCACATTATTTGAAGTATATACAGCGTGAAGTTAAACGCTGATGACTTCATACACAGATAGCGTGTCCTATATATACTTTATCACATTGAAATATTTTTTCTGTAAGTGCTAATTTTATGTCGACTAAGACTTGGAATGTTTTTCGTTTGTGAATGAAAAGTTTATTGAATACCTAGTCAACATTGAAATCGTGAAACAGGTGTTGTAATAATAAATAATTAAGTAAGTAAGCCAGCTGTCAAAAGACCAGAAACATCTTGCTGTTTCTATATCCACCTGAAAATGAGGAAAATTGTTGAAAGATAAGATCATAAACTGTTAAAACGTGAAGTCTATTTTAAATTCTTCTTCTCATGATGCCCTGCTTGATTAGAAGTTGCACATGTAATTTTCAGTAGGATTATATTTATAACTTTAAACGCTAACGAAATTCCATATCAAAATATCTGTTTCCAACAAGGTCGCCTTTTAGATATGATCTTTCCTTACTTCTCATCTTGAGTCATCCCACCAACATATTTTTCAGACACCATTAGGACAACTTATAGACAAAAGGGTAATATTAGGTATTTTGATGTCTTATAAGTTTCACTTAATAATTTAATGATTATTTTCCGATCTTTAACATATTAGGGAGACTTGAGCACCTGAAAATCACAGGTGAATGTATTTCAACAAATAGCATAGTAAACTTCCTCAATTCAACCATTGTATTCTGTACTTTATCGTTTCATACTTAATTTTATAGACATTCGCCTGAACTTGGTCAACAACGACCATCAGATACTCTGATTGAAAAGTACAAAGATTTATTATATAAAGGGACAAATCCACAAATTGGAGCATCAAAATCATTAAGAGTGCATTTCGGTGGGCGAAGACCCGATATAGGAGTAAGTTATATGATAATTTTCTGATGGTGTTCTAAAAAATTACTAAGAAACTCTATAACACTATTATCGCAACTTATGGAAAAGTCCCTCTGTGAAAATTAGAATATTACGTATAAAAAAAATGATTTTGTTTTCAGTTAGATTCTCATGAGGCTTTGCTCTAATATCTAGTAATATTGCGATGAGTATCTGAAAAATATTAAATCAATCAGGGTAATTTATGAGTCAATTAGAATAACGAAGTAGATTATATAGTTAAACGTAATAAGTAAAAATTACAAATTCATAGTGATATGACAGGTATATTGATTCTGATAGGAATAATAAAATCAATCAATTTTATTAGGAATTTTAGAGCAGCTAATATTACTTTATCTTTTCTTAGTCTACCGGTAATCTTTACTGAAACCAAGGACAAGTAACTTGATTTTGACTTATCAATATGTATCTACAAATTCAGCTGCTCCTGCGGAGACAGCTATAATATGCGTACCATTAGATAATTTAACCATCGAATGAATGAATATCTTCCTGATTCGCTTCGAAATAGTCGGACGAATACTTTACAGTTCCATTTTATCACACATGGGCGACAAAGTTAATATGGTTCATAAAATGAAGCTGTATACTTTCGCAGTTTCACAATGGGCTTCGATCTTATCTTTTAAAACGAACAGAAGCTATTGGAATCAACCAAGAGCCCTAGCAATGTGCTATGAGGAAATTTGTAGTACCTTTGTCCGATTCTTGAACGAATATATCTTTACAAATAGGTTTACTTACTACCAATGTTATTTTCCATCTCCTTTGCTCGTTTGTTTTTCTTCAACCACTTATAAATATTCTCAACTATTTAATTATTTGAACACATTATATAATTTTAACAATTTTTATTGAATGTCATTTGAATAACTAATTTTTCCGAGTTTTCTGAGTTGATGCATGTACTAAAATATTAATTCAGGCTTTCATTATTTCTATGAGAACTAGTATACCTGTCATATCACTATGAATTTGTAATTTTTACTTATTACGTTTAACTATATAATCTACTCCGTTATTCTAATTGACTCATAAATTACCCTGATTGATTTAATATTTTTCAGATACTCATCGCAATATTACTAGATATTAGAGCAAAGCCTCATGAAAAATACTGTTCTCTCAAATGTGTTGTTCTAAATCTGAATAATTCATAAATAAGGTATAACCCGCGGATATATCTAATGATTATTGGTCTAATAATGCAGTTAATACAAAGTTACATGAGAATTCTTTGAAATTAACAAAGATCTTTCCTTGGGAAAAAAGAAATACAAGATCAGTAGATACTGTTTTTCTTTGTCCAACAATTTAAATGAAAATTCCTAGTTGAATATATGCTCCCAACCCAATTCTCTGAATGATAAAGTAATCCTAAAATATTATAAGTTTCATTTTGATGATCATAAAGATTTCTCATGACTTTATTCATTGAAAGCCTTCGAAATAAAACTATTTAAATTTAATCTGACTAAACTGGTTAAATATGTAGTAAGTACTTGACCTGATTTATTTCTTGCACTATTTAAGGTGGTGTTAAATTGGAAAAGCTACTTATTTTTTTTTGCTATAAACGATCTACGAAAAAAAATTCGGCTTTTCTACTCTTTAAGCTATTATAAAAGTATCACTTTAACTATCATAAAAATAATCTACCCCAAACCTAATTTATAGGAGATAATCACATAAGATTTAGAGAATGATGCTCACAATATCCTTATTCACCTCTTATAATATTATTTAGTATAAAAGTTAAAGAGCTCTAAGATTTATTAACACGAAGCGTATTCATAATCTGTTAGTCAGTATCATTGTATTGTTAAACTTCTTGGGCGTTTTACTTAACCAAATCATTTCAATGGATATATGTTTGATTATTTAATGTAGTCGTTCAATGAGTACCTATTGAACAATCATGAATGTTACAGTGAATGAAATTTGAACAGTAATTAAGGTATACACTACTTTTTAATCTTTTTTTATCAATCCAATTAATGGGTTCGTAGTTGACTTCAAAACTTTTCAGTGAGCTAGTCAGGTTTTCCTCGTTTTCACTCTTAATTTTTATAGCAGACCTTATCAGCTGATGATAAAACTGAATTTTTCGGTCATAATTCAGTAAATGTGAACAGATTGTCATCAAATCATTCATCACAACATACAAATCACTCGGACAGCGGATCGGATGCATATTTATACTCAGATCCTGAATTATGCTTTACAGTCATCACATCTACCTGCGGTTCATCACAATCTAGCACTTCAGTACCACAAAGAACATTACAATTACCACAATTCCATTCTATAACTCCATCAGCTGCTAAAACTTCAAATAAATCCAAAGATTTTCTAGACCTTTTAAACGATAAAATTATAACAACAACTACAATTGTAGATAATTATGAATACGCTGGTTTACAGTCATCATCAATCTCACCATTATCATATTCGTCAAATGAACACACTAAACATTTCAGAACTAACGTTATTTCAAACATTCCAGCTACAACTAATCCTTAGTCATCGAAACAGTAAGTAATTATTTAATTTCAATCAATTTTTATCCACGTTCTTTAAACAATTCTATATACTTATTGCCTGCCTAACCAAATACATACCACTGTTTAAATATTCCAGATTATATTTAAGCTGAATAATTCTATTTAGGGTTATTTAACTCCTAATTTTGTAGTTAGCTAGTTTTCTTAGTTATTAATTTTAAATTCTTAGTTTTCATTGAATGATACGATATTCTAACAGACCGTCATGTATTGCTATATTTAAATTACTGATAACTTCAAGATGTATGACTGATTGGTGTTATACACCTACCTTTTGTCATTTCCTATAAATTTCTGGTTTATAGCTAATATTGTTGTGAACGAGAACAAAAGTAGGTACAATCGAATGTATTTAAACACAAAATTACAGAATATCTTAGTAAAATCTGAGAACCATACAGTAAATACTTCATTTGCAAAATATCAGACAATCGTCTCAGACTTCATTGTTCTTTCTTTTCCACATCAATCATTCACTGTTCTCGTCCTTATTTCTTCGGTCTTCTTAACCTTCTGGCTCCAGGCATTTCACTTTCGATTGATGATACATACTATCGACATCAATAGCACACAACACAATATATCTACAAATTACAGTGTGATAACATTTTCAAGAATTCCATTGCTTGATCGGAACCTGTTATCATACACTTGTAGAAATATAATTAAATTAGGCAGTTATTTATCATAACATGATAGGAATTTTCAAACAGATATTTATTGATTTTCAATGGTTGAGATCATGAGTCAATTGAAGCTAGACCATCATGGAAAACCTGGAAGCACTGGACGGCCGATCCGTGGGACTCCTCAGCAGTGCGCATCCACGACCTCGCCTCACGAGATTCGAACCCAGGACCTATCAGCCTCGCGCATGAGCACTTAATCACTAGATTAATGAGCCGACATCCAACGGTATTAATGTTAACTTCAACCAACCCACGAAATTGAGCGATACATCCAACAATGGTTTCAGTGAGTTACTATCTCACAACAGACCTGGTTGAACTCCACTGATCACTGCTTCTCACTAGAACTCCAGGAAATACCCCCTGAAGCCAGTCACTAGTGAGCATATGTTGATTCATATCTGAAGGGTTTTGTGGATATTATAGTAATTTCAATGGTTGAGATCATGAGTCAACTGAAGCTAGGTTTTCCATGGTGGTCTAGCTTCAATTGACTCATGATCTCAACCATTGAAATTACTATAATATCCACAAAACCGTTCAGATATTTATTGGTTTAATGAAATTATACAATAGAACCATACAAGTAATATATACATAAACCCCGCTACATCGGGTTAAGAGTGCTGCACTTGTGAAATATGACTTTCTATCAACGGTTTTGACTAAATTTTTTGTCGAAATAAATCGTAATTATGTGTGTCTCTAAACGTTTATGTCTGTTACATATTATCATTCAATGGAAATGAAACAACAGTAAATCGAACGGAACATAGTCTAATGGAAAACGATTTGACAATTATATGTTCCGCTTTACTAAAGTAGCTAACATAAAATGCATTTATAAGATATAAGAATGATTTGAAGACAGCTGATTTTAATTTTAATTTGCTTGGAATACGTTAATCAAAACTGTTATTGAAAGATCATGTGTAATAAATTTACTTTCAGTGATTAGTTTAATTTCGTGTATTTACTTACAGTGCGGCTATTTGTATAAACCAGTTAACGTATCAAATAAAATTTATGACCACATATTTGGATTTTTAACTTTGGCCAGCTTACGATATCATGCGATTATCAACATATATCTATGTATATACTTTCGTACTCAATGAAGTACTATTTCGATGAATCAACATAGATATTTTCACATTTTCTACGTTATGAGCCATGAAGTTTCCTGAACCAAACCCTAAGAACCTAAACACTGAAGTGTTGACTGATTAAATAGTTATCGTTTCTCATCGAGCAGTTTTTTTAATCATGAGCTCTATTCGTTTAAGTTAAACAACATGGCAACTATTTTCAAATTATCTAAACGAAGAGTTTTCATTCCTTGTACAAGTACTATGATAATGTATTTAAAATTTCTCAACTGCTTCACTAATTTGCATTAGAGTGAGACTTAAAGCACTTTTTGAAACTGGTAAGATTGTCTAAAGTCCTATACAAATAAAAAGACTATCTATTTCGATAGACAGTCTTTAAATTCTATTCCATTTTAAGATCGAAAATCACAGATATTCTATACATTTAAAAATACGTTTCACCATTAGTCGGAAAGAGCTATTGCAAATAGTAATGATATACGAAGAAACCAAGTACAAATATTTAGCTTTATTCCTAAAGCTCCTAGCGGTGAAAACAATCTCGATGACAGCGTAAAAAATCATGTACATAAATTTAAAATATTAAGGCTCATCTAATAAAAAATAATAGATACCTAATGTTCTTGTCAATGATAAATGTGATAATATTCAACAACTATACTGTCATTAATATCTTGTCGCTCATAGATATACACGCCTGAATAAATAAAATATAGCAATCATTTCGTTTTACGATAGATGTACAAACCATTAAATATGGATACTTTACTCAGCACCTTCGAACTTTATAAGCTTATTATTTGTGAACTTTCCAGATAAGAACATATGGTCGACTGTTGACTATCGTTCATCAAGAAGAATGATAGTTTATCTACTCAATAATATGGTATTTTGTAGTTCTTATATTTTTCGATACATTTAATTACTAAGTATACTGGTCTATTCGATTTCAGGTATTCAGCAGTTATTGTGATCAAATTGAATATATATGTATATAAAATAGGACAAAATAATTGATTATTATACAATCATATTCGAGTAATGCTTCATAGAAATGAACATTCTTTTGATTTTAAACAAAAAGGGCAGAAAATACAAATCCATATCATGCGCAACAAACAAGCGAATCTTGAAAATTTTGATTCATATTTCATCTCAAGCTTAGCAGAAGAAGGGAAGAAATCTTTTTTTGTTGTTTCTTATCTTATTTCATTTAACTTACTCTCTGTTTTTATCGTTCATTGTTAATCATTTGTAATGTTGATTAAAGATTGTCAATGTAAATGTAATTGTTTTCTCCATGTAAACAAGCAGTTGTTTATGCTTTCAATTATGTTTGTTGTACGTAAAAAAAAAGAATTCACTTCCACCACCATTTATACTTTATATATATATATATATATATATATATATATATATATATATATATATATATATATATATATATATATATATATATATATATATATATTGGTACACTCATTCTCCTATTTATCGCTTAATAGTTTATCTAAAATTTATAAAGTTCCACAGAGGAGATAATGATGCTATTGTTTGCAACAACAACAAAAAGTAGATATTAACTACAAAATAAACAAACTACCTCTTGTTTTCGTTTATTCTAATCACTAGATCGAAATAAGCACTATTCAACTCGTATTAATTAACAGAAAGATGTTGAACAAAATGTTATGAAAGTGAATATATGTGAAAGATTCTTGTTTTTATTTAATTATTTATAAATTTCTTATTCATATTGAAAAAAATTTATTATTTCTTCTTTATTCTATCATATAAGAGAACACAATTGTATAATCATATCCCAGATGGAAATAATGATGGTTTATCTGAACTTTATTTCGTTTCCTTATAATGAACATTCACAATAATTGTATTGAGTAAAATAGAACAATTATGCTGTTCAACTAATTATTAATTTATCTATCACTGGAATTGTGACATTATTTATTTGAATAAAATAGTCATCAGTCATTCATTAATCTTCTTTTATTACTGTTTCATCATTCATAGTAATGGGGTAAAAAGTAAAGCTCTTGATAGTAGTTGCAGTTTTTCCATGTTTATTTCATAATGCAAACTGTTATATATGTATAGAAGTCTTTCCTTGACATTCATTGGTATAGGGCCAGAAATGTATCAGCATTGTTTATTCTATGAGCTTATTTCTGGCTTCTATTTTAAACTCAAGAAATTCAGTATTTGAAGTTCTGGATATTTCTTACAGCTGAATCATCAATATTTGCTTTCCCAAAAACAATCAGTTTAATAATCAAATTTATATTGATAGCTGTTGGCGTCATTAGAGTGTATTATTTAAGTATCTGCTTTTTATTTGACTCTTAAATTAGATTTAACAGAACACATTCTAGTTTAATCACAAAATTTCTAGTTCAGTTGAGACTACCGAATAACTAGTTCAAATAATTAGATGGTACGAAATGTTTTCATACACTTTTTTGACTTGCATGTGATACCCAAGTGAGTAGAAAAATCGAATTTTCTGGCGTTTCATGGCTCAGTATAAGCCACGTCTTCAGAGGATAAATAAACAAGTTAAATTGACCCAAGTTTAAATAGTACAAAGGAGCAAAGCAAAAATAAATAGTACGATCAATCAAAAAAATAAGTTTGATCAAGTCAATATCATATCACTCTGATCAAGGTGATCTATGAGTAACATGGTTGCGTATTTGCGTATGTGTGTGTTAATCGGTGAAAAATGTAACATATGTGATATCACAGGATAGAGTTGAATTTTTATGTCCCAATGGTGTGAGTTGTGAACGGAATCGTACATGGTAGCTCGAAAATATGATCAAAGTCGGGTGGATGTTAAGTCTTTCTTTTCAATTGAGGGTAGTAGGATTTAGCAATATATGGGAAGCTTCATCTACCCACCTTTCTTTGTAGTTGGAAAAGCCCTTTTGCATTATTTTAATATTTCTAATTTCTACTTGACGGTTATTGAAGATAGCATGAACTGCTATTGCCGATTTAATTTGAAGTTTTTCAAGTTAAACGGGATTATCAGTAGAGGGTTGGAGAGATTATTGAGTTTTTATTGAGATAATGAATCGATCAATCTTATACCACCATTGAAAATCTAGAAGCACTACGCGGCCGTTTCGTCCTAGTATGGGACTCCTCAGAAGTGCGCATCCATGGTCCCGTGCGTGAACGCCTAACCTCTAGACCACTGAGACGGGATCCAACGATCGTAATGTCTAACTTCAACCAATCCACGACATTGCCCGATCATATATTGTCTTCAGTGGGTAACTGCTAATCCGTGTCGGATGTAACACTTACATTTATACCCGTCAGTATTACTGCTCTTTCTTTCAGTGTTGCTGCAAATATGAAAAAACCTGTCAACACGCAGTGAATAGTTTGTTATACATAACCTTTGTCACGATATATAAACTTGTTAAACGTCGTCGTAAATTTTAGATGCAATCTAACTGACTGTTATTCCGCAAAGAAGCCACTTGTATAAATCAAGAATTTGGGATCGCCAGTTTGCATACAACTGTGATGTCTGAGCACGTGGATAACCAGTGAAATAATGTTTCCAGTGGGACTAATCCATAAAAAGTCATTTTTTGTGAGATCGATTGTTAATAAACCTGTCAAAAATAGGGCATATTATAGGAAAACAGAATCCTTATTTCAAGCAGAGACTGATCAATTACAGTCCTAAACATCCATGGGAGGATTCAAATCACCAATATAAAAATGAATTAAAATTCCTATTTACATGTGGGTGTATAGAACATTCTGCTGCTAGTCAAACGAATACATTGCATGCTAAACAGAAACAGCTTCAAATATCTAAGTAAACCAACAGTCTCGCTGGCAGATATATGTGATTTCCACTGTTATCTTCTGTAACTTTGCCTAAAATTTGAAATTTTTCAATAACTAACAGCACTCACCTATAAAAACACCGAACATGCATTCAAAAGGAACATATAATCACTTTCAACGTTCTCTACGACTTTCTTTACTCCGCTGATGAATGTAATGAGTGTATGTCATTTTCATTTGTGAGATACCTGCTTCACTTACTTGTTGAAAATCTTTAAAGCCACGTCCGAATTCCGCTCAACTGAAGAACCTTTGATCGAACAGTCACAGTTAAAAAATAACATCCAGGTCTACAGAAGCCCTACTGAAACTAGTAGATGCGATAGTACTGCTATTAACCATAGGCAGGAAGCTCCAAAACAACGCAGAAATTCCATTTAGCGAAAGGATACATAGCAACAAACAATAATTAAAGTGATCTATTAACAAGAATGTTTTGAAAATCATCCAGCGGTTACAAATGAGCATGTACTGGAAAATCAAGGCAGGATGCAACAAGCATTTAAATGCTGAATGACCGCCTTCACTCTAGCCCTTCAAAGTTGTGTGAACTAAAGTGAGGTAATTTGAAACAGGGGTTGACTTTTAACTTATTCCCCCGTCGTTCATATTAGTCGAAAATGTTAGTCTACATTAAATGTAATCTTTTGTGATTCTTATTTGGTTTCCAAATGATTTTTATTAGATCAAATTGTTCCGAAGATATGAACGTATTTGTGCCATTATAATTTATTCATTCGGATGATAAAACTAATGTTTATATTTTAAATGCCAACCTTCCTTTACAGACTTGTTTTGAAGAAAGCTAATTACTGCTAGTTAGTCAGTAAACTTTCGGAGCTTAAAAAGATCGAATGCTAAGTCTATTACTGTACTGTTGTTGCTAACTAATTGTCGTATTCGGAATATTTGACTTGGATATGTATGGCAAGTCAATATTCGATCAGATAGTAGAATAGTTAGTAATACTATTGATAATTTAAAAAAGTTTTTATTTTCACCGCGCTTCAGTAAGTTTTTACTCACTTGGACCTGTAGGTTTATTTACCAGTGAATGAATAAAATTTAGGTTCTATAGTACTTGTCCCCGTGAAGAGATATCAACTACCAAATAATATTTTTTGGGATTTTTTGCCTCGTATCCTAGCTACTAAAAAGAAAAATAACTTTGTTTAAAGAGGTTAAGCAACCTAATCCCTCTACATTAAAACGAACTATTTCCATTAAATAACTTCACTGAAAACTTGAAGATTTACATCACTATCCTTTTATTCTATTCTACTTTGATCCCTATTCTCAAGAATGCAATGTTAAACAATGTTAAGGTAATAGATGTCACGACCAGCTTAATATCATTTTTGTTAGCATCTCGTGATGATTGAATACTAAGTGGCTAAAAACAGTTTCTATGGTATGTTTGTTAATTGCTGAAATTTTAATGAACTATCTTATCCGAAACATTTATCGTAAAATAAAACAATAAATATTAAAAATTATTCATTATTGTATAAATTGTTGTATATGTACAATAAAGGGGGTTTGGTGTAAAGTTTTTAAAATGCAGTTGACAAGTTCAATCATGTATACCTATAGTCTAAGTAATGTCCATGGTATTTAGCTTTACTCACTGAGTCTTAAAACGATCCACTGTTTAATTTCACTAAAAGAAATTATCTGCTAACATCTAACTTGGAAGTTATTTTAATACAACTCCATATATGTCTATAAATGTCATTGTTAAAAATTCAATGAAATTCCCTTGACCATAGTAACAATGACTTTCCAGTTTATCTGATAAAATATGTAGGTACCTCTTCTGTCCCAACAGCTATTCCCACAGGTAGTCAATAGCTCCCTTATGTGAGATATCCAGAGATAAAATAGGTTTTTCTTACTTAATACATAACTTTTCTATCATATCTTTGAGTCGAATACATATTTTACAGCATAATTGACTAAGTTTAAGTGCAATGGTTGCAATAATTTTTCAGATAGATAGAAATGATAAGAGTGAGCACTTTTTATAACCTTTTGACTTACTGCTTCCATTTTGAATTAGATTCATATAAATCAACTTTGTTTATCATAGTTTATGATCTTAAAGTGTAAATCTTATTACTTCATATATAATCTATCAAATTTACAAATGACATATTTCATCTAATTGTTGGTTTATAACTATATATATATATATATATATATATATATATATATATATATATATATATATATATATATATATATATATATATTATCTTTTTGAATCTTGATTCCATCCACTACTTATCATTTACACATAAAACACGACGACCTTAGCTATATTATTCTATAGTTTACTTTCATCATAATCAGTATACACTCGGTTAGTCTTTCAAGAAGCTCTTATAAAACAGTACCAATGTTCGATGATTTTTGAATGTCTTATTTATATAGATCTAAGCTTTTTCATGTTCTCGTAAAGAAATAACGTCGGAAGTTGTTATTTTCTACTAGAACATTTT